TGCAGAGAATAGCAAAAAAAAAAGATGATTAGGGGGCTGGAGGAATTGTTGGTTGCCCTAGAATAATCTAATGAAATGGAAGGATTAAGGATGACATGGTATCAGTTCTAATATTTGAGGGGCTGCCACAAAGAAAAGGGGTAAAGCTACATTCCAAAGCACCAAGAACACAAACAAGAAACAATGGATGGAAATTAACCAAAGACAGAAGCAACCTAGAACTAAGGAGAAATTTCCTGACAGCGAGAACAATCCACCAGTGGAATGGCTTGCCTTCAGGGGTTGTGAGTGCTCCATCACTGAAGGCTTTTAAGAAGAGACTGGACATTCATTTGTCTGAACTGGTATAGGGTTTCCTGTTTGAGCAGGAGGCTAGACTAGAAGATATCCAAGGTCCCTTCTAACTCTGATGAAGATGATGATGATAATGATTGTCACTGAAATAGCTATCCTGTTTCAGATTATAATCAACTAAACAACATCATGGTTGCCATATTAAAAGTTCTTTTTGAACTATATGATTTTGAAATATTAAAATAAATATTTGTAGGAGGCCATGACAGCACTATGCACCATCTGCAAACAATTATAAAGGGTTATAAAGGAAGCTAAGTCACAAGCCTCACAAACCTTCTTTATTGTTGATTTTTTTAATTTGCTCATCTAAATATTCTTTGCGTTTGATTAGCGCTTCTGACCACTTCTCCCTTACACAGTTCAAATCTTCCTCCTAGTGGAAAAAAGCATAAATTTGAAATGAAAATATACATATTTAGTTTTCTGCAGCTTCAGGTTTGATTGGAGAAGATTATTTAATCTTTTTTCTTATTGATACAGGGAAGAATAAATACTTCAGTTACAACAGTCACAATAAACTGCCCCAAAAGGCAAGCTCACCCAAATTGCAAATAGCAGAGAGAAAGAAAAGCTGGAAAATGCACCAGATTTTTCATAAAAATATTTCTCTATTTCAAATTTATTTTTGTAATTTTTGGTTTCAATCTAAGCAGGAAAGTAATGCAGCAGTCAACAAATTATTTAATAGCATAAGGAAGTGTTGATTAAATCAATGTAACAACCCTTGAAACTGCATCAATTTTCATATTTGACTCTTACCAATGCAACTAAACCATCCCCATGCAAAACGAAAAACCATGCAGTCATTCATGCTTTTTGACATTACTGGAATGTTTCATCTGTTCCTTAGCATATATTATCAAGAAGCAGCTTGAAGCACATTAGTAGCTAATTTGGGCTCAGACTACTTGTGAGAGCAGCTTGGTTGTGTATTTAAATTTGGATCTATGCAAATCAAACAGGAGTAAAAGTATATAACTTTTACTTTCCCACATTCTGACTCTGAAGCCACCTTCCCTTCAATCTACTTTAGAATCAGGAAGGTATCTAATCACAGAGGCTTGACTAGGGAAAGGCCTGCAGAAATTTATTAATACCTTGCACTGGAGAAAAGAAATGGGGTTCCGATCTCATTACCTATAAACCCCTTAAATTGGATCCAGATTTGTACATGATAAGAGTTAAATCTGAGTCTCAGCATAAAGATTTACATGTAGTTAAGCTAAGTTTCCATAATAAGTAACTGTACAATCTATTAAACTATTTTAGGAGGATATGTTGAAACTAATACTTGGGTAATTCTGCTGCTTCCTAAAAGTTAAAACCCTCTCTTAGATTTGCGTTAAAATGTATTATTTAATTCTGAAGTCTCTTACAGGTTATTATTTTTTTAAAGCATTCATTGATATCTTAAAAAGTTAATATATGATTAAAAATTGGATTTGTACAGCATTAAAATCAGAATAAAACTTAAAATAAATTCTGGATGATTACTATATTTGAAAATCTAATAGGATTTTGTATGAGATTAAAAATGTAGATATCCATACATTTAAAAAGCTTTCAACTTTGTGCAAGAATTATTCTATTAAGCAATTCACTAAATCTGAATGGTGTTGGAAACTGTTGAGAATATTGTTGAATTGTGGTTAGGTTATATAGGCAGCTTTCATAAGAAAACCAGTGCTGCTTGCCTGAACTCCATCAATGTACAAAAACCTCTCATGTTTTTTTTTAATCTATAAAAGAAGCACCTATTCAATCTATTGCATTTATTTTATATGCTGTTTTATTGTTGTTCTAATTATTTTGCAAGTCATTAAGAGAATTTTTAACAAAAAGTTTAGCTAAAAGCATTTTTCCATAAACAAATACAAGTGTATGGTATATTGATAGTTATAGATGTCAGGTGAAACAATATAGTTTATGGTCAAATTTAATCTAAATAATTAAAAAGGTCTTTAAAATCAGAGAGTACTTCAAAAGCTAGTACTGTTTGTGCTAATATTCTAGAAATGCTTTCATGACAATTAGCATTAGCTGTGCCCCATGCCATGTGATTTAATAGCAACAGCAGCAATACCTGATAACTATCCATATCACCATCATCATCATCTCCTTTCTGATGGAAAAAAACAAGCTTTATAAACACATAGAACATGCATTATTGGTAACACACCTCAACAAATGCAAGATACATGCAACACAGATTTGGGGGGGAAACCCCCACCAAATTAACCTTAGTAGTTGACTAACACACAAGGAAGCAATCATGTGTGTCTCCTCTCCAAAGTTCTGTTATCGGCTAGAGAGGTCTTCCGGAAATGCCTCTGCAGCCTGTAACAAGAGTTCTGGATCAATCCAGAGCTCTGTTATCAGCTAGAGAGGCCTTCAGGAAAGCCTTGCCAGCTGTAGAAAAAATGGGCCGAGGTGTGCGAGGTCTGGCTGCAACTATCCTAAAGTAAGTAGTAGGGCAGCTTCACCTCCCCATCCCCACCCTAGCTTATTTTTTACCTGTGCACCCTGGGGTGGGTGGGGTCTTAATTAGGGCTTATTTTGGGGGTAGGGCTTATATTAGGTGCACGTGTAAAAATCAAGTTAGGACTTACTTTCTGGGTAGGTTGTATTTTCAGGGAAACATGGTAGTTTAGTACCAACCATACTTCAAAGTATGTACATAGTAGAGAGCTATAGCTCATTCTAAATAAAAAATGAAAGTGTTCTAACTTTTTACCGCTCGCATCTGAAAAAGAAGCTGACACCTATGTGCCTATGGTATTCTGTAAGTAGAGATACATGTACTCATAGTGTTAACATAATTTGTTTAAGAACTTCTAAGTCATTGTTTGCATCAGGATAACCTGTTTTTTTTTCCAAGTTTTTGGAGGTAAACTTTCAAAAGCCCCAGCCAATCTGTTCTATGGTCAGAAACTCTGGGAATTTTAGTTCAAAATAGCTACAAATCACCAAGTTATTTAAAGGGGGAACAAGAGAGAAAATAAGAATATCAAGAGCCCATGACTTTGGCTTGGCTGGCACATATATTTCTTCCATACTGCCCAGGGCTTATCTATTTATCATTCCATATCTCCCAATAAAGAACTACTGATCTTATAATGATCCAAAAGTCACAAGTGAGTCAGAAGGAAGTGGTGTGCACAGTACTCATTCTGATATTGATGCAATGTTCCATTTATAAGTTACGATGAATAAACTTTGAGAAAGCATGTCAAATACACATGTTGACAGCTGTGTTACATGCCACCACTGAAAGACTAAATTTGCACCGTGCTTTAATATTTCAATATTTAAAAAGGCCTACCTGGTAACTGTCTAAGCCCCGTTGCAATTTGGTTGATCTGGCAGTCACACAGCCAATGGACACAGACAGAATAGCTTCAACCATAAGGGGCAATGTTCCTGAGTGTTGCACTGGCTTAACTACCACATGGACTCTACGAGAATGACCCTGCACAATTAAAAAAAGGAAGAGGGGAAGAAATATTTAAAAATATACTAACACACTAACATTATTTTTTAGAAGAGAAAATCCCATCCACTATACCTGTCTAAGTTGTAAAATTCCTCCTGTGTTTACATCTTTTGCCTGGTGAAGCTCCACAGCTGCATAATCACCAATTTCATTTAGTTCTTGAATTGAAACCCACATTTCTATTCGACGTGTTACTTCATTCCACCTAAAAACGTGTAAAAGAAATCAATAAATATACTTTTCAAGAGCCTCAAAACAACTAATTCCTGATAAAGGTTCAAGGATAATAAAATACCTGTCTCTCAAGGTTCTAGATTTTGCACGAAGAGAATCTATTTCCCATATGGAGGTCCCATTTCCAGCACATCTGTGACCCCAGACCTCAATAGCAAGAGCTCCATCCGCAATGAACTCCAGAAATTCCTCTGTTACATTCACCACATAATCCTAAAAAAATGGGAACATTGACCACAGCAAACATAATGTATGCTCTGTATGGTAAAGAAGAAATAAATCAAATTCCTAGACTCAAACTGGATTGCAAATGTAGAGAAAATGCAGCTAAAGCTGTATGGATAATTCCATGAATCAATTCATCTGCACCAACATGTTGTACCATGCAGATTCCAAGATATAGTTAACAAATTTCTATTTTATAACAATAAAATGTTTTTAAAAATAATAAAAAAAGTTTTTATAGCGGCAGATACAATATATTTTGTATTGAAAACCTGTACCTCAGAATGACAAAGCTGAACTTGAAATGATTGCTCTCTATTACCCCTTTCCCATAAACTTTAATTCACAAGTTACCAGATTACTTATATTATCTTTTAAATTATACAATTATAAGATTAATTACACCATAATGTGTGATTTCTTTCTGCTTTTCACTAGTTCAACAAAACCAATGAAAAACATAAAAATATCTTTTTCATTGGTTCTGTTGGTTTTAGCTAGAAGTGTTTGTGCATGTGTTTGTGCCTTTGAGTCAGGGTTGACTTTGGCCATACTGTATTAATTAATCCCTGCATTTATCTTCTCAAAAAAATTGGAAGTGGTTTTCCCACTGCCTTCTTCCTAGGGTTGAGAGGGAGACTGCGGTCCAAGGACCCTCAATTGGTTTCATACTGAGGCAGGAAGAGAATGTCCTCCTGTTTTATAGCAGGCGGTCTTTAACCTCTATACCAAATTAGTTCCCTTCACTAATTATTTTATATTAATTGCATATGTTTAAAACCACTTCCAATTTTTTGAGAAGATAAATGCAGGGATTAATTAATACAGTATGGCCAAAGTCAACCCTGACTCAAAGGCACAAACACATGCACAAACACTTCTAGCTAAAACCAACAGAACCAATGAAAAAGATATTTTTATGTTTTTCATTGGTTT